CGTTTTTTATCTTGGAAATAATAACATTTCTAAAAGAACTGTTGATATTGAATCAAATCAGATTTAGCTCAAATTAATAAAAAGCATCAAATTAAAACAAAACAAAAATCTGAAAAATGAGTTGTGTGTAATAACAATGAGATGACACAAGGAAAAAGTACTGAACTACTGAAATGTATTTAATACTTAATATAAAAGGCTTTTGGGGGGGGGGGCTGGCAGCATAAATACGCCTCTCACATGGAGAATGAAGTCATGCATTGCTCAGGTGTGAGTTTTTTCACAGACTTCAACTCAGTGTAAAAATCTTGATGTTTCTGTGGGTCATCTGAAATATTTAATTTGTGTTTTCTATTGAATTCAAGTCATGTGATTGACTGGGCCATTCTACAGCTTGATTTTCTATATCTGAAAGCATTAGAGAGTTTACTTGGCTGTGTTTTAGATCATTGTCCTGCTGAAATGTCACCCTGGATGTTAGACTGAAGCAGCTGATATTAATTTACAATGATGAAGGGCAGATTGTTGCTGAAGAACTGCCGAGAGATATCAGCTGCTGTCTGGGCCTCCACTGCCTTTCTACACCTCTCTTTCTTCACGTGTTCATCCGTGTGTCATTTCATTTTATTATGCAGAACTTAATTTGTAAACAAATTAAATTTGGTTTCTTTGCCTATATGAATTCCTATGGTAGTTACCATTATCCGGGGAAAATTTAAAGTTAACAGCAAATTCTGAAAGAATTTGTCCCATGTTCGATACGTATTTCCCCTAATGTATCTATAATAACAGTAATATATAGTAGTATTTATAGTAGAGGCTAGTTAGATTAGAACAAAATGTTGTATTGTAGATAAGCATGAATATTAATTAATATCTTAATATTAAATAATTATCAAATCAAATGATCAGCTCATATCAAAATTATGAGGTAACTCTTGAGGTAAAGCAGGCCAAAATCCTGAGTATGCCAAAGGTGCATGTCTTTGTCATGTATTGAATACATTTTTATTGATAATGTTACCTAATAATCTAAATAATATTTCTACATTAATAGTTTTAAAACATCATATATATATATATATATATATATATATATATATATATACTGTATATATATGAAGCTCAGTAATATTTTCAATACCAGTAATTTTGTCCATATATATTCTGGTCAACTTTGTTACACTGATTATAAAACAGCATAACAATCTGTTAAGCACTGATAGAAAAAAAAAAACAATAAAAAAACAACCAAAAAAAAAAAAACGTAACTTCATAGGATGTCACTTCATCTGGTGGGAAACTCTGGAAGGCATTGAGCCATGTCATTTTTATTCTTCTCTTGTTAATTTGTGCAAAATGTTTAGGATATATCAGTATTAGAATAATCATATGTCAACTCAGTTATTGTGCTATTTCAGTGAATATTTCATTTACTAGTAAAAATAATATGATTAAAATACATTGACATGTGGCTTTGGAGTTAGAATCTTTAGCTAAGCACAAAATATAGGAAAACGTCAACCCATTAGTCATCACATTTAAGCAGTTTGCATTATTATTTTACAATAAAAAAAGATTCAGTTTACTTTAAACGACACATTTTTGTATGTCATTCCGGTCTAATCAATTTGAATGGAATTCTGGAATGAGTTTCCTCAACACACGCACAAACACGCACTTCCGGTCTGCTCCTCACAATTTTCTCTAAGCGAAACCTTCTTACATAAAAACAAGGTATGCGTTTCCAAACATAGATTTCTAAGTATTGTGGGCTTTTATATTAGGACGCTTGATACAAAAGAATCTTGGAAGAATTTTCTCAGCAAATTGGAAGCAAATGACTGCAGTGCGCAGGTAGACTCTGTAATGAGAGGAAATCAAACTTCAGCATGTCTTGTCCCGCATCCAGCACACAATAACAGGAAAATGGAAGCAAAATACGGAGTATAAAACGATTTTATATGCACCGAGGTGGAAAAGACCAGTAGACCAGGGTCAATGCTGATTCAGACAGGTTTTTACAGCAGTGAAAAGGTATTTTAGAACCCTGTTATTAATAGTTGGTCTAGTAATAATGTTACATCGAGTATTTTTGTATGGAAATGTGTTTGTATTTTTGGAGTATCTCTATGGATGAAAAGACATGATCTGCATCCAGCTAGTGAGAATCCTATTGCTCATCCGCAAATAGATTGGTTTCTGGTTTATGTGAAAAAGCCCTCCCCAACTCTAGAAGTAGCCGATTGCATGGCGTTCTGTTTTGATGTTTTGTTTTTGACTCTGTTTGCTTTGAATCTGTTCCTAGTCATGCAAACTATACCCACCGAGGCTGATTTATTGTATGCATGTTATGAGAAGCAGGGAGTGAGATGTTTTACTCATTCTGTAGTTCGGATATTTGTTTTTGGATTAGGATGTGAATATATTTTTCTTCTTGTTATTTACATTTTTATCAGGTAATAAATAGATTATTTTGTTTGTTATTTTGGCTTTTAATAAATCCCTGTTATTGTTAATACTTCATTAATCTTATTGTTTGTAAATAAATTTATATATTTCTTTTCTAAAATATTGCTTGAAAATGTAAAAAATAATAAAATATTTTTTTATGTTTTTGTATGTGATCGCCTCTAGATAGATGGTCATAACAATATCTTAATGTTGTTTAAAACTATGCTTTGTATGTTTTGTCATCTTAAAGGGTACCTATTAATTCTCTTTTTAAAATATAGAAGACAAGTCTCTGAGGTCCCTAGAGTGTGTAAGTAACGTTTTAGAACAAAATACAGCACCGAAGATTTTTTTATAACTCTTTGAAACTGCCCCTTTTAGGCTTTGATCCAAATTGTAATTTTGATGACTGTTCCTTTAAATTAAAATGAGATTGTCCACCCACCCCTTTTTTCAAATGCCTAAGCCCCAGCATAGAGGCAGATTTAAAAACAGGACTAATGATATCTGTGTAAAAAACTGACAATGTCAAAAAAGTGTCTCAGAAGAAGGTCTGTGGTGACTATGGTGTTCATTTGTGCATCCTAAAACTCAACATTTATAATGCCTCTTAGTCACTGACACTATCTTCAGCAGGTATGGTGCTAAAACTCAAATGGCGGACAACTGCTTCTCACTTAGGAATGTTTGAAAGAGAGATTGACTTTCCCCCTCTGATGACTTGTACAAAGAAAAGATGTTAATCAAATTGTGTCCGCAGTTTTAATAAAGTGTGATTTTTAAAGATAGAATTAATACAGTTTTACCATTAGAGACTGGCTATTTTCACACACTGTTGTCGCACAAGTTTTTTTTAACCCCTTATAAAAGTAATTTTTGCATAATTGATCCCCTTTAAAACACAAAGATGAGTTTTAAATGAATCAAACTAAATACATTTAGTTTAAATAAATACTCTTAGTGTAGCTTTTTTATTATGTTGTTTTTCTATTATTTTTCATATAAATTAATCTTAAATAAAAATGGAATAAAATTATATATTAAATAAAATGATATACTAAATTAAAATATAAAATTGAATAAATAGTACATTTAGCCAAAAAATAATATGTATACATTATATAAATGATGCACATGTTGTTTTTAGAAATAATAAATTAATAAAATCAAGCAAAGAAACTGGCAGAGTCACTGAATACATCCAATTCTGAGGAAAACTTGCAGCATTTTTTGAAAACAAACTTTCAAATGAAGTAAGAGCTGAAGATATTTGTCTGTGTGTGTGTGTGTGCAAACTGGCTTAATGGAGTTTGCCTTTCTCCGTTAAGATTGGCACTCTACCGGTTCTCTCACACCTGAGCTAATTAGCCAGCTGCTCAAGACACACTTGTTAATTAGACGGGAACTAACCGACTGCCATTCCTTCAAAACAGCACACAAACTCACATCCACCCACAGCTGACCACAGTTCATCATCCTGCACATTACAGACACTGCTGAAATAAAAATAAATAAAAATAAAAATAAAAAAAAATAAAAACCTCAACCTAAGTAAAATGCCTGCTGTCAATATTTAAAATAAAATCAAAATAATAAATTTATAAATGTAAAAATAAAATCTAAAATTAAAATATTAAAATAATAAATGTATACATTTAAAATAAAATCTAAATTTAAATATTAAAATAATGTATAAATTAAAAATAAAATCAAATTTAAAATAATAAATGTATACATATAAAAAAAATTAAATATTAAAATAATGAATGAATAAATTGAAAATAAAAACTAAATTAAAATATTAAAATAATGAATGTATAAATTTTAATTAAATTCTAAATTAAAATATTAAAATAATTAATGTAATAATTTAAAATAAAATATATATTAAAATATTAAAATAATACATTTATAAATTTAAAATAAAATCTGAAATTAAAACATTAAAATAATAAATTATTTTATTAAATATATTAAATATTTTATTTAACATGCACAATGAAGCAAAATGTTTATTTTTAGTTATAAAAGCATAATTTAAAAATCAATAAAAAATTAAATGCAATGATTTTAGCAGCAATTATTCAAATGAAGAAATAATTCTTTTCGGCTTAGTCTCTTTTTTAAACTGGGGTCGCCACAGCGGAATGAACCGCCAACTTATCCAGGATATGTTTTATGCAGCGGATGCCCTTTCAGCCTTTCCCATCACTGGGAACAATAATGTATAATGTTCTTTAATAATGCAAGTAATAAAAATGTCCAACTAAAAAAATGTCGAAAGTATATAAACTGTGAATTTCAGCACATTGGAGGCAGTCCCTGAAATGCACAGGGCAACAAGAACAAAATGGTGACTACACAGTGCTGTCCAATAAAAATAAATAAACACAAACTCAAGCAAAAAAAAGGCCTGCTGTCAGTAAAGCACAACGCCCACAGTGATTTCTGCACCATCTGGATGGACTGAAAAGGACGCTCATGCCAGCACACTGACTTGTATATGTCAGCCAGTGCACCCACAGGTTAGAGAAGTGTGTTTTTACCTGCTCGTTGTTGTTCATGCACTGCAGTTTCTTCTGCTTCAGGTATGTTGTGGTAAGAGGCATGTTGTAGTCTATAAGATCAGCTGCCAAAGAACTCGGCTGGTTATTCTCTGAGAAAAAAAACATAAGACAAAGAGAAAGAAAAAGTGAGGCCACATAAACTCACTTATTATGAAAGAAATCTGCTGTTTATTAATTGAATTGTTTTTAACTATTTAGACACATTTACATTTAAAGTCAAAATTATTAGCCCCCTTTTGATTTTTTATTTCTTTTTTAAATATTTCCTAAATGATGTTTGACAGAGCAAGGAAAAACAGTATGTCTGATAATGTTTTTTCTTCTGGAGAAAGTCTTATTTGTTTTATTTTGGCTAGAATAAAAGCAGTTTTTAGTTATTTAAAAGCCATTTTAAGGACAATATTATTAGCCCCTTTAAGCAATATATTTTTTTCGATTGTCTACAGAACAAACCATGATTATACAATAATTTGCCTAATTACGCTATCCTGCCTAGTTAACCTAATTAACCTAGTTAAGCCTTTAAATGCACTGGCGCCGTTGACCTGTGGTGTGAAGAGACCCCCCCCCCCCCCCCCCCCTCATAATTCTGAAGTGCTTTGGGTGTATGGCCACATACACGATAAATGCACTACATAACATAAATACACATTATATTACATATATAAGTTATTAGAATTGAGTTATTACAACTATTATGTTTAGAAATGTGTTGAAAAAATCTTCTCTTCGTTAAAAAGAAATTGGGGGGGGAATAAACAGGGGGCTAATAATTCTGACTTCAAACTGTACATATACTATTAAGATTCACTCATTGTGATGCATTTATTTATTTATTTGCATTTAATTATTTATTTATTTACTTTAAATTTTTTTAGGCACCAATATATATTCTTTTAAAGTACCAATATGTACCTTTTGAAAAGTGACAGATTGTGGACCTTTATTTCTGAAAGTGTACAAGATTATTTAAACATTTAAAAAACAATTTAAGATGATTAAATTTAATAAAACTACCAAAATTAAAAGGTTATGTTTACATAAAACCTCACAATGATGCCATCACAAAAGCTTTAAGTCCATGCTTTTTATGTTTTCTCTTATACACTCCTGTGAAACAGACTAATATTAAAGAAAAACATTCATTTTAAAATGAGACTTCACTTCTTTCCAATTAGTTTTTTTTCCTCAATAAGAGGTTAGATTTTTGTGAATTGAAACTCTTTGTTAAAAATTATTTTGCATTATTTAACATTAACAATGGATTCAGATTGCTATAAATTATTTTTTTGTTGTATGTCCTTCCAGTTCAAGAAAACATGCTCGAAATTGGCCTGCAATTCTAGAATGAGTCACACACGCACACACACACACACACACACAATATATAATAACAATGTAATTTAGCACAGATGATGAAATATATTTTCTGTAATTTTATATACATACAAATTTATTCTTGAGTTAGCATTTATTTTAATAAAAGTAACAAGATTTATATGATTAACTTTTGGGGTTTTAGTTAAATGATAAACCTGAATGCAAATAATGAATCCAAGATTCTATTCTATTCTATTCTATTCTATTATTCATTCATTCATTTTCTTTTTGGCTTAGTCCCTTTTTAATCTAGGGTCGCCACAGCGGAATGAACCACCAACTTATTCAGCATATGTTTTACGCAGCGGATGCCCTTCCAGTTGCAACCCGTCATAGGAACACAACCATACATTCTTGCATTCACACACATATACTACGGACAATTTAGCTTACCCAGTAACCTGTACCACATGTCTTTGGACTTGTGGTGGAAACCGGAGCTGGAAAGAACATGCAAACTCCACACAGAAATACCAACTGACCCAGCGGAGGCTCGAACCAGCGACCTTCTTGCTGTGAGATGACAGCACTACCCATTGCGCAACTGCATTATATTAAATTATATTATACTATGTTATACTATATTATATTATATCATATTATTATTATTATATATTATGTTATAAGAACAAACATAATTGATGACTGGACTTTTTAACGTAGTTTAAATCTTATTTACACAAATAATTAAGGAAATAATTAATTGCATGAAATATACTTTTTGTCAATAAATCATCTTTATGAACTTAGTTAAATTAAATGGGGGAACACCAAAATGGGACATCTTGTCTTTGACCCATATATACACATATATAAGACTCAATTAATCAGTAGCCGCATTTCCACTATCGGGCCAGTGCGAGCCAGGGCTTTAATCGGGCCGGGCCGGGCCAATAGCCCGGGAGGTTGAGAAATGAGGCCGAAATCATGTCGCGTGTCCACTGACGGGCTAATAGCTCACAGCGCGTCACGCAAACACCGCCCCCAGAACGTCCCCGAATCAAACGTCACACAACCCGCCCACTCCAGCGGGAATGAGGCAGATAAAGCACACCATAGAATCATCACGAAACGAAACCATTAAAATGAAGACATCCGAAACAAACAAATGACACGTTACTGTTCAGCAGTACATGAAATGTCTATACGCACAGACCTGTGTATTTCCATTCATTACATTTGTTTACTCGCCGACCAACTGGCATTGTGCTTCGACTGCTCTCGCCGAACGCAGGGACCCATCACAGAGAGCGCACACATCCATAATATAAAGCCACAGAAATTCTCCTTTATAACTCGATATGGCATGTATTTTATAACATCCTTGTTTTGATAGAAGTCGTGTTAAGTGTTTCAGCATAAGAGCGAGTAGCCTTATATAATATAGCCATATTTGTTGCGCTCGGCAGCTATTCACTAAAGCTCTTTATTTAAAGTTTCATTTATAAATTTAACCACGTCATATAAAAACATAAACAGTTGTTTGAGTATATAGAACACATTTTGTGTTTGGGCTTTCCCCCATATGCGTTTAAAGCAGCGAGCGCTGCGCATGACTGGGTGACAGAAAAAAAGGTATAGGAGATTCTGCTTTCACTCACCCAAATAATGCTCCGTTTGCGCGATTTGATTTATATCATCGTATCCAAATACTTTATAAATAATATTTCAAACCTTCTCCGGTGTTAATTGTTTTTATAAAATATCGAAAATCTTTTTTTTTTCAGACAGGTCTTTGTAAAATGAAAGTTATAGGCTATATATGCTTTAAAACGGCTCGATTTATGTATTGTATATAGGCTACCTACATATAGCTAGCTTTTGTTTATTTTATATTGGTTTATTTATTTAATGTGATTTTATATTTATCCGATATTTGTAATTCTTTAAATTATATTTCATTATAGCTTAGGCTATTTTATCAAGATATGACACTATATTGTTTAAAGTCTACGAAAGTGGGCACGTAGTTTGTTAAGTTTTATGTCCTTCTGTTGTAATTATATTGTGTATTATCTCCAAAATAAAGAAAGAAAAAAGCCGCTCGCGGCATAACAGAGCTGTGAAGGAGCGCTCTTGCCTGGTCTCACACACACATACAGGCATTAAACGCGCACAAACATTTTAAACTTGACAAAAACTCTCGAAAACCTTTACTGTCTGCTGTGTCTTTAATATGGTGTAATGATTATTATATGCGTTATTGAAACAAAGCAGGACGCAGCAAAAAACGTCACTATAAATTAAAACTACTTTATCATTTTATGCAGCAGCCTTACATTTAAAAGGGAAACATAAGGGTGATCATACGCAAAAAGACCCCAGACTATAAGGCTAGATGTTTTCTTTCCCTTATTTCTTTATTTGTTTGGCGCATGTACTCATGTGCGATCAGAAAACTGCCCGCCTCTTCTTTCACTCCGCCCCGAAGCCCCAGCTGGCCCTCCTTGGCCCAAGGTATTCGGCGGGCCGAAAAAGGCCGGCCGCTGGCCCCAAGAAAGCCCCGCTTTGGCCCGATTAGGCCCCGGAAGTGACAGTGGAAACCCCACTGGCCTTGGCTCGCCCTGGCTCGCTCGCTTTAGGCGCGATAGTGGAAACGCGGCTAGTGACTGCTGTTTGGAAAAGAGCCCACATTTTTATCCTAAGGCCTGATATGTGCGCGAGATTTGTGTGTTATTTCTATAAGCAGTCACTAGAGGTCAGTATCTGCCCCAGAGTTTTTCTTTATTGCAGGCACACTTTGCCTCTGTCAAATTAACAATGCCAAACAAAGGCCTAATTATAAAATTTACATATGCAAATTATTTTAATATGCATACAAAAAGTTAAGCCCGTTCTCCTCCCACACAACTGTAATGATGTCCTGGGAGTCGTGTGAAACACCATTGTGAATGTGTGTGAGGATCGTGATGGTAATGCTTCTGACGGTGATAATAATGATGACTGATTTGTTTTTAACTCGTCAGTGTGTGTAGTTGTGTGCGATTAATGCGCGCTTATACACTCATGGTGCTCCTGAGTGTCCTAAAGTTTGTAAACACAAAGCGACAACAATTTCCTCTTGACTTCTTGAATGTGGAGGCATTTTAGTCATGTAACATCTTTCTCCTTTATAGATTTTATCAGCTTTGAGTTAAAAGAGCCATGAACAACCCATTACCTGCTGATAATGACACTCACACACACACACACACACACACACACACACACACACATTCCCTCAGTAATGGATGAGCTGTTTGCAGTATATTGATCAACCTCATTTTCTCATTTCATATGGATTCACCACAAGACAAAATACATTCCTTAGGGAATTAGATCACCACCAAAAACAACATCATAATGTTTAAAACTAAAAAGATTTTAAGATTTCAGCTTAGTCAGGCTAATAAAACACACACATTGATAAACTCATCCAACACATTTTTCACCTGGAACTAGGGCTGCACGATATTGGGAAAAAACTGAGATTGCAATATTTAGTTTTTCTGTGATATATATTGCAACATGAATATAATTTCAGAAAACTATTTTGAAAAAAACTCACAATTTTACATTGCTTGTGATGTCTTCTTTTAATAAATATGTAGTTTATATATATTTATATATATTTTGTATACTTTTTCTTCTATTTTTAAACACATAAACCCAAACAATTGATTCTAATCTAATTGTTAAAGCAGAAAACATTGTAATATCTTGTGTTCAA